TGTGTGTGTGTGTGTGTGTGTGTGTGTGTGTGTGTGTGTGTGTGATCAGAATGCGTGAATGCACGAAATATCGTTCTATTTGTTGCTTTCAAGGTACAGTTCATCCTTCGAATGCACGGTGTCGTCGTCAGCAATGAATACATCATTCTATGGACATTACAAAACCCTTGTCCCATTAACATAACACATCCCTGTGAACACAACATATGCCCAGAACAAAGACGGTTGTCCCATCGCCCACAAAATACATGAATCCATTGTGTGAATGAAAAAGAAGAACAACGTTGTTTTCCCTTGTCAATTGAAACATGACTTCGAAGCGCGTTAAAACCAATCAGTGTGTACAGAACCGAAGCCTCCGCTTCTTCATAATCCACAACGAATGCAGGAAGAGGACGCAGAGAACGTAAATGGAAAGTGAAGGACGATTACGAAATGATATACACGGCGCTGACAGCGAAACACACAAAGGCGTCTGTCCTCCTAAGAAGAAGATAAAACACGTGCCGTCCACTTGACAACCTAAATAGTAGACACCGAACGATGCAAACTAGGTGCACTACCAACCGATCGATCGTCGGTGGTGCGGGTGTGCAAGACGAAAAATCGATACAAAACGAACCATGGAAAACAGGGACAGGAAGCGCGACTCCCAGCGTGGAAGCCCCGGCAAAGGACGCAACAGCGATGGTGGCATCGCGACGGCAATCGATACAGTCTCCCCGCTGCAGATACCCGCCCTCGCCGCCATCATCATCTTTGTGATCGTCGTCATCATCCAAAAAAAGGGGTCTCGTTCTAGGGATCCAGTCCATGTTGCACTGCCACCATCTTCACCTTTGTCTTCGTCTTTCCCCCACCGACATGATCTTTGTGCGCACGGATGGCGCACCCTTGCCCCCGACTTTTACTAAATCCTTCCGCGAACGATCGCCCGCCCTCGCCGGCAGTCCATCCACTTCCACTCCCACTATCACCCGCCCTCGGCGCCATCAACATCGTCGTCATCCGAGTCTTCCTCCTCAGGGGGGCCTATGCCGAGCCAATCCGTCTTCGTTGCTTCCATGACGGTGAGGGAAAGACGACGACAAAGGTGTCGCCGCACTTTGATGCCATGTCGGGGATGTACAGTGGGGGGGGAGCGAAGGTCGGAGGCGGTCTTCCCAGTTTCTCCGTCATCACAGTTGCGGCTAGCAAGACATGACGACGGGAGTCAAAATGGCGATCCATGGCAGCAAGAAGGGTGGTCTTCGACGTCAACTGCACGAAAACCCAGGCGTCGAAGTGCGATCTTGTGTCGTCCCCAGCCATCCTCATTATCCACGCCGCCGCCGCCAGCAAGTACCTCATCGCCTCCGCCAGGGACTTCAGACGCTCATAAGACACACGCCCCGAGTCCATCCCCTGCGCTGCCTCCACCACATTCGTAAAATCGCGCACCAAATGTTGAGCGATGGCCTCCTGGTAAGCCGCGCACTCGTCGTCCTGGTGCCTGTCCGCCACGTTCGCTCCGACGAACCACAAAGGGAGCTTCATACCCAACTCCAGCGTGTTTCGAATCGCCATCGGGCTGATTAACGAACGCCAGTCCTCCAATGCCCACATCGCTCTCGCCATGTCAGTCGCCGCGTGGTTCAAGGCGTACTAGTACGCCAAGTGATACCCCTTGTGTCTGCTGTCGGACTTGAAAATCCAGTCGTGGATGGCCCTCTTCGCAATGCTCTCCACCTTTAACGCCCTTTCCTTCGCCGCCCTCAACTCCGAGGCGTCTTCGATCTTCTTCTGCGGAATGGAACTATGGGGGAGGCTGATGCTCCTTCGGATCGCCGATGGCTGCACCCCCGTCGCCACATCAACGAGGTGAACTCAGGCTTCTTGCATGATGTCGATGATTTCTTTTCCCCGCATTTGATTCCAGAACCGAATGTCGTCGGTCCATAGCCTCGCGGCCACCTCCATCGCTTTCGCCTCTGGACGTTGCCCACGAAGCTTCATCACTAGCGGTTCGTCGTCTTCGCCCGCCGCCCCGTCATCGCCCGCCTTCGCAACGTCGGCACCCTGAACTGCCTCCCCGCGCGGCTGCGGCGCAGGGGAACACATCGTCGACTGGTCGACCACAACTTGGGAACTGCTAGCCACGCCAACAGCCTGTTCGCTCCGCTTACTCGACGGCGTCTGCTGCTGATCAGGAGCCACCTCCGCAACGCCCACCCCCCCCATTTCGATCCGTATTGCACCCCCCGTTCTCTGCTTCACTTTCCGCACGAGAGTCTGTTCCTGTACTTCTTCGAAGTCGTCGTCCTCCTCCTATCTCTCCTGTGCATCCACCCAATCTGCCTCCACCTCTCTCCCAACTGCGGCCTTCCTGCCTTGGACGCCCCGTCTTCTCTTCACGGGATCGTGGCGACCTTTCTTCGATGCGACCTCGCCTTCCCTAACTTGTTTCCCAAGAACTCTCCGAGATGGAACGGAGCGAGAAGACATTGCGTGTCGTGTGTAGAAGATGGAATGGAAGGCGCGTAAGAAGAACGTGGATCCGTCGACCTCGGAGATAGCGGCGAGAAGATCTTTCCGCGGCGCGCAGTACCACACGGCGAGTGGTGGTTGATGGCGGCGAAAGCAGATGGCGGCGAGAAGATACGATGGTGCAACGCACGATAGAAAGGTCGTCGGTGTTTATATTGGCGGAGGTTTCAGGCAGCGACGAGATTAGATGGCGGCGCACATAGAGCACGCTTGATGGCGAGTAATGTCGAAGGAGGCGAGAAGATGAGATGGCGGCGCTCGCAAAACACGGCGATAAAACAGTGATGGCGCCTGTAGTACAAGGTGGCGAGAAGCTTGGACGACGAAGATCTGTTCGCGGCGCGCGGGGTGGGGGGGCTCGACGGTGATGCTGGCAAAATTCAAGGCGGCGAGAAGATGTCCTGGAGACGCGCATGAAAAAGGCAGGAGGCGT